GCGCGCGTGGGCGCGCGTGGGCGCGCGTGGGCTCGTCGCCTCAAGGCAGCCCGAAAGCTTGGTTTCACCTGAGGGGTGTTTGCCACATGTGTTTTTTTATCGCCCACTTCAGAGTGATCAGTAGCTTCGAAGTAGATGGCGACCGCCGGCCATACCTGCCCCCGCCGGTCCGCAGGACTGTGCCTGCGGGCTTTCTGTCCAACGTCCAATGCCGCGGGACGGCCCTGGCGCTCGAAGGCGACGATCGGAGGGAGAAGGAACCCGTGGCCTCATCGGGTGGGTTGGGAGCGGCGAGCGCGCTGGTTCGGTCCTGGAACTGGTTTCGGTGCACTTCTCCGACGGCCCCGTCCGTCCCGGTCCCGGCTACTCAAGGGCTTTGGCACCCGATCTTTCAGCCACAAGCATGTGTTAGTGTTGTGATGAGTCCGATAGACCTCGGTTGACCCACGGAGACGACCCGACCTTCTTCACGGATGGCCTGGCGTGAGAAAACCACATCGAGCGGGGTGGATGGGGTGTTCTGGGACGTAACTAGACAAATAGAACTCTAACCAAGTGAAACACAAGCCATGTGGAAACCAAACAAAATGCCTATGCAAGAGCGCAAGGAGCGTGACAAGCACTACTGAGGCACCATTTCGGGATATTTGGGGTGTCTTCTCTTGACTAACACCATGGGTGAAATCTACTGTTGGAGGATGAAACTGTGCATCACCTGTCACCTGTGATGATTTCCAGGGTTTTGCCCATCCTTCTTGGTAATGCAAGATTTCATCTGTAATCTCTATGGTTGCCCGGCCCTCTCAAGTGATGACTTTGAAGTGGAACTCCTTCGTGTCAATCCGGCTTCATCCGTGCGACGCGTTTTGAGCAACCTGTGCGACGGGTTGAGACGGTCTCCGGTCTCTCCACCCCTGCGTCCAGGTGCGGATCTCAGGGATGAAGAGGTGCTTCACGTGGCCTCTCGGCGAAGCGAAATGACGGCCGGTGACTTCTTGGAGGGCCGGTCTGGTCATGCTGAGGCCGTTGTATTGTAGAGCTCTCCAACGAGTCCAACGAAGATCCGAAGTCAGAGCGCAAAAAAAGAAACGAAAGATCCCTGGTTCCAAATCCTTTTTGAGAAAGGAAGACTCGGAACCCTTTCTCAAGCAGACCGCTTGCCAAAAAAGGAATAGGAACGAAGAGTGTTTTACTGATTTGGTTGGGAGGGGCAGACCTTGTGTTCCCGTTCGCCTTCCGCTGTAGAGAACGGTTGACCTTGTTTTGTGTAAAATCCTTTGTAAAATGTTTTTTCGGTCCAACAGGGGAGTCTACCGATGAAATGGTGGGCTGTCCCAAGCCTAGGGTTGTTTCACACCCAAGACTTATGTTAGTTACATGTTCCACCGTTTCCATCCAGGGTTCTTTCCAACGCGAGGAGCTCAGCTACCAGCAGCTGCACTCGCGCGTGGCCCGAGGAGCTGCGATGATGCTGAAGGAAGGCGAGGTGATTGCAGTGTCTAGCCAGGTCTAGCCAGTTTTTTTTTTTTTTTTCCGTGACATAGGTGTCTAGCATCGGTCTAGACTGTGCGTGTCCACTGTGACAGCTCTAAAAACAGTTGCTTTAGGACCTATTAGGATGGATCATGTGCTTGCTCCAATCTTCAGATGTGTTGCTCCATATGTTTTGGTTGGATTGTTTATGAACATGTCTACTCTTCATCCTCTCTATCCTCTCAGCCACTGGCCACGGTCGGCTCCTGTGCTGAACTCAGCGGTTTCAACTCAGCTGAAAGAAATGGCCAAGGCAGTCGCAGTTTGCACCTTCTGAAGCGAGAGTTCGTCGCGACTGGAAGCGCAGGAGGTCGAACTCATGCCCCCAAAAAAAGAGGCGCAGGAGGTCCTGTTTGGCTCCGTGTTGTGGACCCAACACACCCAACGAACGGAGCGTTTCAAGATTTTCAAGCGAACGCGCGAGGCGAAGGGCTTCAGAGGATGGCTGCTTGACGATGATTAGCTGATTAGCTGCTGAGATAGGCGGGAACTGGACCTCATCCCTCTTCCCTGGCCTGGGAGAAACTCTTCCCACTATCCAAGGGCACATCAAAAAGAATCTAAGTTGTCTTGCTCGTTTGTCCTGATATTTCTTCGTTTGGAGCAGGACATCCATGTCCGTCTCACTAGCTAGCTTGTCGCATAGCTTAAGGTTGGGCTTAGCATGGCAGCAAACTCAACTGAAATCATGATCCAAGATGCTCCAAACATATTTAAGCACCTTTCGGGTACCTCGTTCCGTTCTTTTTCAGAAGATTAGAACCCATCTGCTGCGTGAAAAAAGAGCACCCCTGCGCGCGCGCGCGTGGTGCAGTCTTCGGGGCAACGGACCGGTAGGAATTTTCGCAGGTTCATGAAGGTCCTCACACCAATTAGAAGGGATGGCCTCCAACCTAGAAGCGATGGCCTCCAACCTAATAGCGATGGCCTCCAACCTAAGAGTGATGGCCTCCTACCTACTAGCGATGGCCTCCCCTACTAGCGATGGCCTCCAACCTGATAGCAATGGTCTCTCTCTCCTACTAGCGATGGCCTGCCACTACTAGCGATGGCCTCCAACCTAAGAGCGACGATGGCCTGCAACCTAACAGGAATAGCCTCCAACTTACTAGCAATGGCCTCCAACCTACTAGCGATGGCCTCCCCCTAATAGCGATGGCCTCCAACCTAGAAGTGATGGCCTTGAACCTAGTACCGATGGCCTCCAACCTAGAAGCGATGGCCTCCAACCTAATAGCGATGGCCTCCAACCTAATAGCGATGGCCTCCCCTACTAGTGATGGCCTCCAACCTAATAGTGATGGTCTCTCTCCTACTAGCGATCGCCTCCCCCTACTAGCGATGGCCTCCAACCTAAAAGCGACGATGGCCTGCAACCTAACAGGAATGGCCTCCAACCTACTAGCAATGGCCTGCAACCTACTAGCGATGGCCTCTCCCCGATGGCCTCTAACTTATTAGCGATGGCCTCCCCCAATAGCGATGGCCTCCTACCTACTGGCGATGGCCTGCAACCTAATAGGAATGGCCTCCAACCTACTAGCAATGGCCTGCAACCTAACAGCAATGGCCTCCAACCTACTCAACCTAATAGCGATGGCCTCTAACCTAGGGGGAATCAAGGTATCTCTCCAAGTCTTTTCAGAGGTGGCCCTCTTTGTAGAGGAGGCCGTGCCCTTGGTGATCAGCATGTTGACTGTGCCACGGCCTGAGAGGAGTGGAATGGGACCGAGAGGGGCATAAGCGGTTTCGGGTGGCAATCATTGGCGAGAGAAGTGTCAATCGTATTGCCAAGTTTTTGTAGTTTGGGAACACTTCAATGGGAAGAGCTGAGGGTATCCCAGGAACCAAAAGAAAGGGGTTCTTGCGGTTCTTGGAATCCCACTTTTCAGAGGAAGCGCAGCGTTCGGTGCTGTGTGGAATCTGTTGATGACATTTATTTTGGCATCGGCTCGGCCAATTTCCTGCCGTTTTTCCCTCGAGAAGCCTGAAGTTTTCATCAAATCAAGTTGTGCTCGCGCCGAGTGGACAACGGCTCCGCAGAGAAAAGGCCTCCAAATTCACCGGCGGTTGATCTGAATCAGAATTGGATTCAGGTGTACTATTGATTCAGGTGTATCCACTTCCAAATACAGCGATTCTCGGTGTATATCTAGGGGTCTTCTATTCGTTTGTAAACTCGAGTCTTCTTCTTAGACTCGAGTAGACTCGAAGCGCTTCAAACGAGCTGAGGTGCTTTGGGCAGGGGGGTGCCTTTGTTCCGGTGGATCTAGCCCATTGGCCAGTGGAACGATGTCAAGTGGTGGCTTGGCGGACCAACGATGAGGGGATCCCAGACTGGGCGGACCTAGCAGACCAATCGGCCAAATAAAAACGCTCCAAAACGTCGCAACAAACACGGTCGCCCCCGGCCTCTAGCCACCTGTTTCTGGGGCGGGCTTCGGAGCTCCCGGCTTTTGAAACCAGATGCAGAGGATGTAGCCCGACTTCCTTCTGAACTTTGGCTCGTTCGCGCCGCGCAACGACCGTTGCAGACGACTTCGCGTCGACGTCGTTCTTCGTCGACCGAAGTTGCCAAGTCTGGCCGTGTTCGGGAACCAAGGGGTGTCGGAGAGATGGAGACACATCTCAAGGGACAAATTAAGAAATGACTTTTAGCCGGAAAGGAGCCCAAATGAATCCTCTTTCAATCTGCAAGGTCTTTGAAGCCATGGACGTCCGAAGTATTTGTTTATATTTCGAGGTTATGTGTTCTGCTCTTCCTCAATGGGCCATGTGCCAGCTATCTCCATGTCTCGTTCCATGTCTCAGGTGCTGGAAGTGTCTGAAGCAACTTCTGCACTGGCTCGCTTGGCACAACGATCTCAGGTAGAGCAGCTGATAGGAGCGCTGTTCGCTACATGCGAAGGATCGGGATCTTCGTAGAGTAGAACGTACTTGGTCGCCATCGAAACAAATCGAGCGCACAATCCTAGGACCTACTGGTGAAGAAACGTCAAACTGCAAGGTCAAATGTATTCATTGTGTCTATCTTCCGAGCCACATCCACGTTTCTGAGATGCGAGTGACAAGCTTGTTTATATGCGCACAGAATGCATGTTTTTTTGCACAAGAGTCGTTCGGCACCCCTTGTGCCGATTTTCAGGGTCATGGTCCGCACCGCTCCTGTTGATATGCATAACTCTGCGGCGAGACATTGGAACCCTTGTGCTTCCGGTGATGCTTCCACCAACCGAAATATTTCCAATTCCACCACGGTCACATTGGGGAACCTCGACAAATCTTGTTGAACAACCTTGCCACTTTGAAGGAGAACTTCCAATCTTCTGGTATGAAGAAATGCTGGAGGAACAAAGTATCTTGCCTGCTTGGATTGGGCTTGGACGTTGGCCACTTTTCAGCATGGAACATGTACCAGGCACCCTTCAGGTTCTGTGGTGGACGGTTTTCAGGGGCCATGGCACATCATGAAGACCCTCAAATCTGGTGCTTCCCACCAAGAGCCACTACACCCCTGGCAATGTGACTTTGGCCGTGCCGCACCACCAGCACTCCCGAAGTTTCGGGCGGAGCTCCACTTGTTCAGACTGGGCGGAAAGCCGGGTGACTGGATGAAGTCTCGAGCCGGGTGAAAGAGCCAGGCGAGCGCTCAGTGGCGGAAGTTTCACCTTCAGACCTTTGCTATGCCATTTTTACCTCTGGATCTACAGGCTTCTTGACTTGGAGATGGCAGCTTAGGGTGGGTGATGGTGGGGGTACTTCTAGTTTCGTCCAGCATAGCAGTGGATTCTTTCGGGGTCATCCCTCGCTCAAAGGGTGCTGGCGCCTGACGCTCGGTTGGGAGTTGAGCTTGTGTACGGATCACACTTGGTGGGCTGCTGTAATCAGCGGCCGCGAGCAGTGGACGGTGAAGTCTTTCTCTGCTGAACCTGTGAACTCATGGGTTGATTCCCGCTTGGGGTCTATGTCGACCTCGTTTTTGCCAAAGGAAAAGGCCAGCAATCATGGTGGGATGTAGGGCACCAGGATCAATTATCCCAAGCCAGCAGCAATGATTCCATTCAAGGCCTTTAGATTTCTGATCTCCTCACCTTCCCCTTTACAAGCTCCCAGCTTGTACTTGCTCCCGCCAAGCAGTAAGCTCCAATAAGGACGCCCCAAGTGCGTCCTGTGTGAGCTGCTTGGCTGGAGCGTCCTCGACGAGACGACGGAGCATCGGACCTGGTCGTGGGCCGGGGCCGTCCGATTTGGACGGGCTTCGGATCGATGTGAAGAACGGGTTCGGTGGTTCGGTGGTTCAGTGGCCCGGTGGTTCGATGGAAAAAGCGGTGACTGAGGTGGTTCGGTCGTCATCTTCCAGGTGGTATTTTTGAGAGAAGTCCTCACAAGCTGTGAGCATGTCCATTCCTCTGGCAAGAATCTAGCTTGAGGATGACCTCAATTTTTGAGGCAGAACTCTAAGCCCTTAGGAGGATCTTGGTAAATCACAGAAATCCCCCGCAGTCGAGTCTTTACTGTGGCTGAAGACCCCTATTGGGGAAAAAGATCATTCAAGAGAACATCACACACACACAACTAAACCATAAAGAAAAGTCACTTCACAAGAACATCACACGGCGGGGGGAGCTTCCTTGAAGAAGCGTGAGCTATCCTGCGTCCAGTAGTTAGTAGCTCACTTGCAGGTACTAGCTACCTCTTCTACTAGCTACCTCTAGGGCCTACACCCCCTTTAAAAAAGTGGTCTTGTATACAAGACCATTCGGTTGCTTCATCTCGGTCTTGATCTCCTTCGTAGAACTCGCTGAGGCATCGCTCCGCCGTGGCCTATGCCGTCGCCAAGGCGGAGGTGGAGGAGTTGGCACCAGGTGAGGAGGGGACGGCTGCAGTCGATTCAGGTGGCAAAAGCCGAGTATGAAAACACAACTACGTATACACCAAGTAGAACACTCAATTCGGGAATCTCACCCACCCATGATCTGCCCAAGCATGTGGCGTGCATGTGACGTTCAAAGATCAAGACGCGGATGCCATGGGTTCGAGGGATTCGTTCTTTCTTTCTGTCTCTCTCTCTCTCTCTGTCTCTCTCTCTCTCTCTGTCTCGGTCACCCCACGTGGTACTCTATCTTTTTGAGCCATAGCCAAATGAACACCAGCCAATGAACAGTGGATGTGCAGACATAACAAGACTTTGGTCTTGGATGACCCTTCTCTATATTTCAACCGAGTTGTTTCTTTGCCTTTTCCCAGTGACACACTGTACTCCTTGCAGGTGAAACACCCCCATCACACACCCATCGTCAGACTTCATCGAGTGACTCCGCCCTCTCCCATGACCGTTGGCGGACTCCGCGCGGGGCGCATGTGGGCAGCATGCGTTGGAAGCTGGGCGCAGGTGGTCGCCAGCTCTTGGCCTCGCACTTTACGTTCGATCCAGCTCAAGGCATATGGTTTGTTTTGGGTGACGGACGTGGACGGGCTTCTTTTTTTGGAGGGCGAAGGCGGCGGCGAGGTCCCACAGAGGTTCCGCACAGGTCCGAGTTTGGATCTGTTTTTTTGTTTCGGTGCGTGGAATGGTCTTATAGGAGGCTTGAGCAGCAGTTTCTCCAAGCGAATCTTCAGCGGAAGTGATTGTGGAAACCATGTAGTTCCATCATGTTCCATCGCCCTTAAGCCTTGAAGCTGGCGGACTTCGAAGGGTTGGCCGGGTTCCAAGGTTGGCGATGATGAATTGTTTTTTTCGGATCCACCCCCGACATCGATGTGGAATTTTCGGGCGCCTCAGAACCTGCTGCTTTGGGCACCTCCCAAACACCCGAGGCGCACGCGCCCAGCGCACGCGCCCACACGCGCCCACACCGGGGCCACACCGGGGCCACGAAGGCGATGTCTTTGGAGCGCTGTGTCGGGGCGCCAGTGTGGTGGCCCCCCGGCGGGCTGCGGTGCTGGGAGCCCTGCAGGAGCGGACGGAGAGGGGACGGATGAAAGACACATGGGACGCACCGTGATGCGTTTTGCAACACAAAAATTGGACCGGACTTGGTGAGCTGGAAGAGATGACGACCTTTGAACTTGGGGATCTAATTCTCACGTGGGACTTGCTGCCAAGAGCAGCACCTGGAGCTTTCGCAGCCTCCGCCAGGAGGTCCTACAGGGCATGCGGGTGAGCCATGCGACCATGACGCCGACCCAGTGGGCACTGAAAGGATCTGGAGATCTGCCAGATCTGCAGCATTTGAAGCTCGAGTCACGGTTGGGGCAGCCGCAGGCCGCAGGGTGTACCGTTGTTAGACTGTCGGGGTGGGTGGTTGGTGGAGTTCTTTCTGTTCTTAAATGACCTTCTTTTGAGCACCCTACAAGTCCAAGGGCCAAATTAAATCTGATCCTTGACCTCATTGAGTACTGGTTTTGCATGACCGGATCCGGTCAAATGAGGTCCTTGACCTGTTGGGTCAGAATGGAAGACTAAACTGTCCATGTCATGCGGATTCTGGTGTTCTATGCATTTCGTAGCTCCTATCTTTTGTCGAATCATTCTCTATCTGCCGCTGAGGACGCTGTGTGGCGAGCCCATGCGAAGGGACACCATCGATAGCTGGGCATCCAAAGTGCAGCTGCGGAACATGTACGGAGCGACTTGGAGAATGACCTTGGGAAAGGCTTTGAACCTGCTGGTATCCTGGCCCTCACATTGATACGGATTCAATCGGATTCATGGCCCTGCTCTGTCGCACGGATTGGGGGATTCTGAGCTTGTGACCAACTCTTCAACTCATCAGAGCTTGTTGTGTTGTCCTTTTTCTACCCCCTCCAAGTGCCGTCCACCTCGTTCGTCCGCCCACCCCTCCGACCTCCACCGACCAGGTCACGGAGGCCACAGGCGTTCAGACCTTCCACCGGATGCGCGCGGGTGACTCGGCGAAGTTGGTGGGCAAAGCGCTTCCAGGATACCTGCTGGGCCTCACCCAGGCGAGGCACGTGGGGCACGGATTGAGCAAGGCATGTGATCGAATCTTCGCGGTTTGGAAGGGGGCATGGTGCGGCACATGGGGTGGCTGTGGATGTGTGGTTTCTTGCGTGTGTCAAGAGGAAGTGAAGACGGGGGAGGTTGGAAGAAGGTGAAACTTTCAGGGTGAGAAGGAAAGAACATGTGTGGCATCCTCGGCCGATTTGGCAGGTAGATGAACACTTGTTGGTTGCAGCGATTCCCATTGTCGTGTATTCTGCTGGAACTCTGTTCTTTTAAATGTATCTAGGCAGCTGGGGGTTGGCAGAAGGACAGCGGTGCTGGGATGGATGTTGCAGTTCGTTTTTGGTCGAGCGGCGAGCCACGTGGGCCATGTCCAGGAGAATGAGGTCTTGGTGGCTGGGAAAGGCCTGGCTCGTGGTTACCTTGGCTTGGAAGAGGTCGGGGCCACACCTGGGGCGGGCGTGGAGGTGGTTCCCCGAACGAGTCCGCCGATCTGTTCTGCATCTGAAACCCTTCAGTTAGAGAGGTTAAGTGACCTGAAAAAGGACAGGTCACCTGGAGGACTTCTACACTAAATCGAGTTCTTCAATCTCTGCAAAGTTTTCCAGCGGAAAGCCAACACCCAAGGAGACGGCTACTAGGAGTTGGGAATCGTTTCACGTAACAAGAAGCTACTGCTGGGTCTTTGAAGCTACTAGGAGCGATCGGACGCTACGAACGGGCTCCTGGCATCGCTACTAGGAGCCAAGAAGCTACTAAGTAGGGGCTCCTGGCCCAACTACTGGTAGGTCTTTGAAGCTACTAGTGTCTTTGATCTGCTTCTTTGGAACCCCAGGCTCGGTCCGGAGCCTTGCCACCGGGGTGTGAACTTCACTCCTCTTTTTAGGAGACGGCACGCTGCTTCGTGCCTTGGGATCTCCTGACCGATGACATCGAGGCGCGTGACCATGGAAAGCATGGAAACGAGGCTCTCTTTTTTGGAGAAAGATGGCAGCTTTCATTTTTGTGGTCCACTGGAGCAGAAGGTTCATGCAGGAAAACACCTTCTTTTTTAAGGCTTTGCAAACGAAGGACGAAGGATGAAACAGGGACAAAGGACGGAAAGAGGTCGAGGGCCATACAAAGTACATCAAAGTACCAAGAAATAGAAGACGCCGGCCTTCATTGACCGTCTAAACATGTTGAGAAGCCTTGACAAAAACAACAAGGCCGGCATGAAGAGTTTGTTTTCAACACCTCCTGTGACCAGTTGATCTTCTTCCTACTTTAAAAAGAGTTTAATCCCTCACACAAGCTATAGCAGACGACCTTCATGTTTCTATTTCTGTCGGGAACGGGGCACGGCGCACGGCGCACGGCGCACGCCCGTCCCTCTGTCCAGCCGCTCTGCGAGGCGGATGGCCGCGCGTATCGGACGGGAGATTTGGCGTCCTGGAGCGCGGAGAAGGGCTTCGAGTTGCATGGGCGAAGGGACCATCAGGCGTTTTCTTTTTTCGAGGAAAAAGGGCAAAGGAGCATCCAGCATGGAAAACAAGAGAGTCTTTGGACAAGAAGTGTTCCTAGTTTCTTGCAATTAAAGAAACATGTGGAGCCTGTAGGTCTGCAAGTTGCTAGGGGGAATGAAGTTGCCCTGTGAGAGTCAGTTCGTCTCCCAGACGATAACATGGGCCAGTGGGCTCTTGCCATGGTGCAAACTGGCCCCTCACGGCCTCATGAGCCACTGCCATATGAGGCACTCACATGAGGAAATATTGTGGTCTCCCCCTGGCCCAATAGGTTGGAGTCTACTTGTCCTTGACCAGGGTTGAACCTGGGATCTCCTCATTCTAGCACACACAGATCTTCTTGAATTATACCGCGAGATGGCAGGTACATTTCCAGGGTGACAACTACAAGAGTCAGTTCGTTCCGGGTTTGAACTGGTTAGGAGAGAGAGGCAGCCATACACTCGAACAAGGAACTGCAATTGTTTTCAGTGTCAGTGTTTTTGTTGCATCAGCAGCTTGATGCAAGATGAGGGAGGCTTCCCAACATTCTCCCAGAACACAATTTGACATTCTTCTGTGAGGGACATGGATGGATTTTTTGGTGGATATAACAAGAAGCTACTACTTGTAGCATCGCTACTGGGAGCAAAGACGCTACTAAGTAGGGGCTCCTGGCCTTACTAGGAACGATGTTTGCTGAAACAAGAAGCTAATAGAATGTAGATACCGTCGTTTTAGCTGGTGGACCGTACCTGGGCACCGGACCAAGTGAGGAGAGGAAGAGGAACGAAGCGCCCGGGTTCCGGGGGCGGCAGGTGAAGATCAGCGGGGTTCGGATTGAGAGCCTGGAGATCGAACTGGCCGTGGAGGCCTCTGGACTCGTCGAGAGCTGCACTTGCATGGTGCAGAATGACCAGCTGGTGGCCCATTGCGTGCCAGGGCGATGGAACAAGTCGTGTAGGGAAGGTGACACACGATGGATGGTTCTTGTATGGGAAGTAGAGCTGGTGCCTTGCTTTTTCGTGCTGAAAGCTTTTGGTCGGGGAGCTTTTTGGGCATGACGCTGGTTAGTGTCGAGGCAGCCCTGAAAGGGCACAGGACAAGTCCAAGATTTGCTGACATGAATCCTAATCCAGTCGATTTGATTCGATTTGGCATCCTGGATTTGTTGGTTAGTTATTCTTTTACTTAGACAAGCCTGGTTGAGGTCTTCAGCGGTCTTGATGAGACCCTGGTTGAGGGTGGGTTTTGGAAGGGATGCGTGAGGGGATCAGCCAACCAAATCCTCAGCCAATTGTACTTGCACCAACCCATGTTGACGGTGTCTCGCTTCTGCGGACGGCCAAACAGGTCGGTGGCTGTTCCAGAACTGGTCGTGGGCCTGTGGTGCACAAACGCCATTGCGTCATTGCGTGGATTTAGTAGTTTCATCCAACTGGGGTGTTTGCGACCCCAGAGAAAGTAGTTTTTTTGGCTTGGATGACATTAGCAGGTATGCATGTGGGTTGATGTTTGGTATGTTCCGTTGAAGGGATGGGCGGGGTTGGGTGACCGGGTGGGGGGACAATGACGTTGGTTTGGATGTGCTGTCTTCGATGTCAGGTGCTTCGACGCTTCGACACGCTTTGGAAGGTGGGGGTGGGATTCACCGATTGGGTCACTTGGGCGCCATCAGGTGCTCTCCAGCACCATGGATTGGGTACTGCGTGCGGCCCTGGAAGCCCATGCCGCGAAGCGCTTGCCGCTGCAGGCGCGGTGGACTGGATGGTCGATGAACCGGACATGTCCGGTCGGAACCCGACACGCGGAGGCCACCTTTTGAGCCAATGATATGGCCCAAAAGGACCAAGATGACACACGTTTTGGTTTGGAAAAGCACCATGGTTTGGACCCTCCGATTCTGAAGCCATCCCTTGAGACACGTGGCGCATCTTTTGCTCTAAAATGCTCTTGGTTGATCCTTTAGACCTGGACTGGGCACTTTTGTTTCTTTTTAAAGTAACTTCCTCCCATGCTTTCGCCCCACAGCCGCAGTGAATTCCTCCTTTTTTGGGGTTTCGAGGTGAGGCAACATGGCCCCCGAGCCCAGGTGGTGCCGCATTTCTTTGTGGGACATGAGAAACTGCCCCTGGCGCCTGGTGGGAAAGTGGATCGACAGGCACGGAGAAGGTCGAATGAGGATTTGGAAGGCCTTTCAATGTCTAGCTTGGGACGAGTCGACGAGATGAAGCTGATTTGGAGTTGGGGAGATATTCCCAAAGGTGGACGGCATGCTTGTTCATCGTTTTCTCTTTGTTGTTTTTGAGGTGGAGGAAGTGACAGGTGGAGGCGTCTAGATCATGATCATATCCGGAGATCTCCGAAAGAAATGAAATAGACCAGGGCCCAGGGGGTCTCTATTCAAATACACACTCATATGACTCATATGCCGTTGACGTTGACTTTCTTTGTCCCCATAGTGGCGGCTTTATTGGCATGAAACCGGTCGCTACTATGAACAGGCACTCATGGCGTCGGACCTGCAAGAAGAGCCTGAGCTGGAGGCTCTTGGTACTCCATTGGAGGCCGCCTGAGTTCGAAATCGACGGAGCTACAAACCCACTGCGATCGCCTCCAACCTAATGTGAGAGGTTGATGACAGGTGCCCATGATGTTGGGTTCCTGGACCTGATTCCTGGTGTTTCTTCAGCAGGAGTTGTCCACCACGGACATGGGTCCATTTTTGGGGTTTTTTCGGTGGGTTTGAGAGGTGTCGATTTCATGGTCTCAAAGCATGCGAGCGAGCCGTATTCCTACAACACAGGCATGAGCCCTGTTTTAAGAAGGAAAGGACCATATTTTGGGTGGTCGTTGGTCCAAGGGGGCGGTCACTCCGATGTTCTTCACCTTTAAAGCTGTCCGTGACAGCTTAAAACGGTGCTTTTGCGTTCGAACACGGAGATGTATGGACCTATGGAGAAACTCACCATATCGTCAACTCCGAAGTACGTGCTCAGAACGCAAGTGCAGTGTCCGATCGACTTATGTGCCATGTACTGTTCGAGGGGTGGCTTTTCGAGGCTTCCAGCGTATGTGCTCTTGAGTTACGCATGCTCAAGAGGTGAACTTCTGAAAGGCTGGGGCATTGTGACAGTGCGCCTTGGTCAGTTGCAGCTCTTTGGCGAACATGACCATCCTGCACTTAGAGACCTGCATATCCGGGATGCTACCTTGATCTGAGTCCCTCAGTGACTCAGTGACCCGGACCCCACGCCTTCTGACACCAGCACCGCGCAGCTTCTGCCAGTGGCTGAGCACACACGGCTGTGGTCGGAGTGGCTGGACACCACTGGCACGTCGGGTCCCGGCCGAGCGGAGGGGCCGGTCCATGGTCAGTGCTTGAGCCATGAGAGGCGAGCTGGGATTCTTGGTCCCCTTTAGGCCGGAGTCCTGCCGACCCCAGCTGAGAGATGGGCCGTTGTGCAAGAACCGAGAGATGCTTCGGTGGCACGACGAACTTCCGTCCAGGTCTCCTTTTGGGAAAAATGCCTCACAAGAGTTAGATGACTGCGACGGATACAGAACCCAGCCATGCTAAAGGATGTTGAGAAAGACCTGAATTCTCCGGTTCGGCGGATTCTCCTCTGGGTGCGAACTCGCAACAGGTGGCGGTGGCCACTGCCTGGGCGAAGGTCCTGCAACGGCCCGCGCACAGCATCGGAACCTGGCCATGAACGACCAGTCGGATCAACGAAGGTAAGAAGGGATGAACTGAATACTTCTTTGAATGACATGAACTGATGCATGGACACCATGACGAAGGTTCTTGACCATGGGTCAAAGTGGGATTGGCCAAATCTACCTTCCCTCACTTTACTGTAGCCAATGAGATTGAACAATCTTCATCGAACTGGAGAACAACCCACGAGCTCAGCCGATCGTTTCGGACCACGCTCACTCGCTTCTTGGAGTCAAACGAACAGATCTCGCCATGGTGTGGTGGGCGAGGTTGAGTTCCATACAGCCAGGCGTCCCTGGCGTCCTCCATTTCATCTCCACTGATCTCCCAAGCTTCGATTCTGTTCGAGATCTTTGCTGCATGCTTTCCTCTGACCGGCTTTTACTCGTCCGGGCCGTACCGTACACAGCATAGCAGTGTAATGCTGTAATGTTTGCCCATTTTCAAACATGTTCTGTCCTGCCCAAGCCGGAGCTTATGTTCACCGACGAAAAAAGGTGTATGACAAGTACTTGCATGTGGGGCCCACTCGAGCTCGAAAAATAGACCCTGCAGCCGGCAAAACAGTCGGAAGGCCTCAAGACGTTCCCTTTGGCCATCCATCCAATCGAAACAGCCAAAGGGTTGCCCGCTGCCGGACCCAAATCCCCGCTCTCCGCTGTGCCAACCCCCGACCAGCGTGCGCCGACACCCGAACGGCCCTTGATACCTACCTAGGGGCTGGTCTGTTTTTCTTTGGTTCACCCTGTGTAGGACACCACGGTGTCAAACCGAGGCGCCAACTCCAACTTCCAGTGGCTGGGCGGCGACAGCCTGGCGGCGCTCCGCGCCTCGCGGGGCCTCGCGGAGGCGAAACGAAGCACCGTTCGTCGTCGGTTCGACGAGACTCGCGGCGCGCTGGCGTTTTCCGGTTCCAAGAGACCAGCGAAAGGTCATTTGGCGATTGAGGACAAGGTCATGGATGGAAGTCCAAAAAAGAAACCGCCGCCAAGTGAAGCAGCAAGTGAAGCAGGAAGGACTCTGAACCAGAAACACCCGCACCGAAGCTTTCTTTTTTTTGGAGACGCTTGATCGCTGGACGTGGCTGGACTGAAAACGAGTCACTTCTCGGATGTGCTTCGTTCTTTGGGAACTTGGATCCGAACTGGTACCCTTGGCATTCCAGTGGGGTGGGGTGGCAATGAAGGTCCTCAAGTTGGGGTTGGAAGAAAAACAGACGGGGAGCTCCCCAAAAGCAGTTTCTCAGCGTGGTTTCAATGGCAGCTATTGAGTGGAACATCGGAAGATCGATGGGAAGGCTTCTTGAGTCGCCTTGAACTGGTCTAACGAGAGAAAAACATCCAAAAACACAAGTTTTGGAGGACAACTCGCCTTCCTCTCACCATTCATCCATTTTTCTTGGTCGAAACGATCAGCTACACATGCTTGCAGACTTTTTTGGGTTTTCTTTTCCTCTCCTGCGTGAGTAGTATTTGAGGGCATCCTTTGAGGCGCAGGTATAAGCAGAAACAGGATTCAATCAAGAGACACATGCGCTTTTCTCTTTTCGAAGGGCAGGGGATGCTTGGATCGGGATCGGCGTGGCGATGACCGGCAGGAAGTGCTTCTTCCAGAAGATTCAGTGTCAGAGTCCCAGGAGCCATGCATGTGAGTCTGGGTGAGCCCTGGGCTGCTGTTGAAGATCTTGTAATGCCTGATGCACACAATTTGTGTAAACAGTTTGAGGAGACTATCTCCCTCCAACAAACGTGGAAGTGGAGAACCCGTTGCCCTTGATATTCTCCATCAGGTGATGCCCAGTGTCTTTCTTACCTTTAACAGAAATGGCATGGCGCCTTGACAGGAGCAGGCGGGCGAGGCAGGATTGATGGTCTCCTCAGAAGCACCCGAAGGCGCGCTCCAAAGGAAGGGGTTCGGTCAGACTGGCGGTCTCGCGCACGCGCACGGTCGATCCCCCCTTCTGCTTCGCGTGATCGATGGAGACGGACTGGGTGAGTTCACCGTGCCAGGTGCCGTGTGCGTGCTCCGTGCTGCGTTGGGCCCCCTGGCTCCCTGTGAACTTCTGGCCAGGCCACAGGGCGGCGAACGGCAAGGGGACTGGTTGGAGGCGGTTCTGCAGCGAAGGCAAGCTTCCTTCGTCCCCCTAGAAAGGGTCAGTGTGACGATAGATTGGATACTCTCTCCACTGCTTGTGCCTGAGACTCATGCAGCTGTCTGCTCTATCAGGCCCATGTTGCGGCAGTATGCCACCTTTCTGGCGTCAAAGGGAGTGCGAGACAAAGGCGGGAGTGCCCTCAAGATGTGAAGATGCACTGAAGATGGATGGGGGTGACCACGTGTACTGGAGATCTGTCTGAGCATTACAGACACTTCATTGAACAGGTTGAATATACTGAAGGGTGCACTGACTGAAACAGGCATCCATCAGTGCATTTTCAAGAGGTTTTGACCCCTGTTGGAGAGGACACCCTGGATACACCGGTGCGGCATTTCTCGGTGGTGGAGGAGATGCCCAGTGAGTCCATTCCTATTCGAAGATGCCCATCTCTCCTTGAAGCAGTCATGAGGCAACCAGAAGTCCGACCCAAAAATAAAAACACCAGCTGACCTGCTTGACCTGCTCCTCCCCTCCATTCACCTACCCAGAAACCTCGAGGGTTTCTGGCGTTTCTGGTTAGCCTGGATTCAGATGAGTGTGTCCAGGGTGGGTCTCATCTCGACACGCCGACACGCCGACCCGCCTCGAAGATCGAGTGTGTCGACGATTCGATGCTATTTTGAGAAGCAATAGACCTCACTGTTTTCTCCAAGGTCGACTCCAACTGGAAGACTCCAAACCGACTCCAACTGGGAGTCTCACAGTCTGTTTGCTTTTACCTTATTTTGGTGACTCCTTTTCTGCTCGGACTTCTTCAAGGAGGTCTACTCCAACTGGGAGACTCCGACGGTGTCTTTTTGAAGAAACGCCCCTGGAAGGTCAGCGACGTCTATTCACCACCCCACCACCCCGAGTGACTACTGGAAGAAGACTGAGGACCTCGATTTTTTCTATGCCCAGTGATGAGAAGAAAACATAACAACACCTCCCATTTGGATTGGATTTTTGAAATACAAACGAGAGTCTACATTCTTTGAAGTCCAGGTGCCTCACAAGTGAGCTGCGCGACTGAGACAGGCCATCTGGGTGAGTCGCACATGAGCTTTCTTTTGGTCGAGGGGTGTCAGCTTTGGGGTCTTTGGATACAACCAAAATCTCACAATCCAAACTCGTAGACTCGACGACTTCGTGCAAGATGGAATTGGTTAAGATATGTGAAGATGAATAGGGCTTTGGTTTCTTTTCTTGTTTGTCGAGCCAGCTTGAGAGACGCACCACTGTCTCCGATTGGTGACTAAGCATCGGGCACAATGGACAATGGGACATGGGGTTGGTTTGAACATTTGGGTCTTTCCATGTTTTAAGAACGACAGTCGCCGCGTAAATAGTTTGACCAGTGCATCCGAAGATCTTTCCATGTTATGGACTCCGGAACTTGTTTTCTTCTTTGGTTGGAGCTCTTTTCTGCATCAGTGGCCCGATGGGATCGCTTTGATCCTTTTGCAGCAAGGCACCTTGCCTGAACTTGCCTTGATTGCAGCAGCAGGAGCGGGTCTCATCCACCTCTCTGGTTGGATTTCTAAGACCTTCCGGGTGTTGGACCAAAGAATGCCCAGGTGTGGAAAAGCTGGGATTGGTACAAACAGGATAGATAGATATCAAGAGTACGTTCGGCAGGTTCAGTCATCATGTCTCACCCAGTTCGCATCACGCAAACTTCTTGATCTCTTTGCCTCCTTCGACGAACGGAAGACATCTTGAGACCCCTGGTGCTTTCATCACATCCCCTTCAGTTCAGCCATGAGACCCCGAAACCCCGAACGAACTCCCTGAAGCTATCATGGAAGTGGAAGACCATTTGTTTGTAGAGAAGAATGGTCATCCAAGGAGCCATGCCATCCACTTCCATCATGATTTCAGGGAGCGTAGCTTGTTTTTGGTTCAGGAGATGGTCGAGAAGCAGTGGTTAAGGCTCTGCTGGAGGCGGCACAGTGGAAAGGAAAGACACAGAAAATAACAGGATTCTGATTGGCTCCGAAGGTCGATTGTGACGATCAGATGGCTGATGGGATAAGATGGCCGATGGCTAGCACCAGCAGTAAGATTCGGATTTCAATCAACTCGTCCAGTAAGGTCCTGAAGGCAAGTCCAGCAAAAGCTCTTGCTCAAACTTGGACGAATGGGATCAACCGTTGTGGTCTCTTGCTGGAAGACATCCTGCAATACTGGGATCATTCTTTTGGCGCATGGTCACATCATGAAGACATACGTAGCCTACAGCTGGATATCTCTAGTGGTTTCAGAGTAGATGGCACAACATGTGAACCTCCTTTGGGGGATTGTGCCATCTACCCTCAGTTCACTACACAATCTACGGTGGTTCCAGCGACTTTCATCAACACTGGGTCTTCCGACAATCATGTATCCAGGGCCTTCCACATAGAGAATCATGGAGTTCCATCAGCGGTGGTTCACTATTCCGAAGGCGCAGACTCGGGGGTCCAGGCTTCAAACAAGAGACTTTGGAAGGGCATGTTCCTTTTAAACACCACCAACTTTAAACAACACCAACTTTGGAAGTTTCATTTCACTGGTGACCTACTCGTTGGACTTGGGACGGCCGATGTTCTTCAACACTCGCCAGGTGGCTTCTCCCGATGGCCCGGCCCGTGGCCGGCCGCCGCGGGGGCAGGTGCCGCTCATTGCCGCGGCCACCGCAGGGCACATAGGTGCACATGGGCAGCCGTGAGGAAGGAGAGCTGGTACTGGAAGTGTTCGTGAAGTTAGGTCACCTCGAAAGAACACACTGGTTGGCCAGAAAAGACCGGGGAGCTGGTTCTGGAGCATCAGCAGGGTTTGGTCACCATCGTCGACTTGCAACGGCCATGTCGGCTTGCGAACATCACGAACACAAGCGTTTGCTCGCGACGCGCTAGTCTCTGGTTGATCGCCGCACCCGATTTTAAAGAGCCAGAGTCCCAGCAGCATGCGAATGCGCAACTGCAACCGGGAAACCCGCTCTGTCACCGCCCGATCAACCCGTTAAGGGTAATCGGGTCAACGAAAGCTAGGGCAATCGGTTGCGGTGTGTCACCTCGGATTCCTGGTTCAAATCAGCAACGATGCCAAACCGTCAGCCCCACTCACTTGCGGGAAAGGAAGGGGGCGCCGGTGTTGGACCAATTATATAAATGATATGACTGTTCCCTGGGAGTGAGAGACTGAGACTCTCAACAGAATGGTCTTTTGGGTTCCCGTTTCGTGGAACTTCCTTTGCTTCACTATATATATATATATGTATAATATTCATCTTATAGTCTTTGGACTTCTAGGGTGTTGCTTTGGAGTCTGTTGGTTTCGATTCTGTGAAAGAAACAGCGCCAGGCTGTGCCCAGCTGCTCCTCTCTGCCCGCGCCCACGTGCGCGCCATGACCTCTGCCCGGACCAGCGCAGCGCATGTGGCCGCAGCTCGGGGAGCCGCTCGGAGTCTGTGGCTCCGGTGGTCCTGACAGGCTTGGGACCTGATATATAGGACCTGAGTCACCTGGGGAACTCAACTGGGATAGTCGAACTAGGGTCCTTCAACCTCTGTTGGAAGGTTTTTAGGATGTTTTTGGGTGAGGGTCACTTCCTATCCGGAGTTGACCGATCTTCTGGAGTTGAATCGTGGTGTAGATCTCGTTTCAGCTGCCGAGGAAGTCTCGGAGAAGTTCTCCAGCAGGGGTTTTTGAGGTCAATTTTGGATCCACTCTTCCAGAGTTCCATCTTCTAAAGCCAGTGAACCATCCATCACAGGTTTCTGAGTTCCCTCTTCCCGCATGGATCAGACTTTTTGGAAGCCCCTCGGGTCCATTTGATGGTCCATGCTGGTCCGTTTTTTGTTATGCTTTATTTATATACAAACTCCCCCTGCATCGCAGGTCGATCATGGTCATCACTGGTGGTCAGTCACTTTCTCCACGATTTGGACATTTCCCATGAGATGATTCACTGGTCAGTCACTTGAGCATTCCCCAGAATCCTCCAATGTCCAACGCTTCCCAGGACCCCTCGCTTTTGCAACTTTTGCTGACGACCGGTGACAATGATGAACGCGAGGGCATCGCCACCTGGGCACGGGATGCAGATCAGCCACCCGATGATGAATGCGGGGGGGTACAAGTGTTTGGAGGTGGCTACAAGTCAAGATCTGTCAAAATCTGATTCTCTCCCAGATGCGCCTGGTCCACAGCCGTGCAACTGATTCACTTGACTGAAGGGGGAACTGAGTGTGTCTTCAAAGTGAAGACCCTGAGGGACTACAGAGCAGATTCCGTCTCAACCACTCAAGTTCCCCGTATTCAACTAGCTGTGAACATCTAGCCTCCACAAACACTCCGAGGCTTTTCAGGGACAGAGACCCTTTCACAGAGATTCCTTTCCGGGGTCTCCCCACTCTTGGGTTTCCGCATCAACCTCGGGCGAAGATCGGCCTACAGATCCGAACGCGCGGGCGGAGGTTTCACTTGTTTTCTCACCATTTTTGGTGAGGGACTTCTTCACATCGGACCTGATTACCCACTGCAGTTTCTACTGCATCGGACAATCATCTCTCGTGCTCGGCTTCTTCACGGAAGACATGTGGGGAATCCTAGTAGTCCCTGCCCAGGCAGACTGTGCTACATCTGTCAGCCAGGCCGGAACTGTTGGCTGTGACACCACAAGAAGCGCACATTTTGTGTATTTTTGGGGGGTCCCCAACAGCTTGGCTTTCTTGGCTGGCAGAACCTTGCTGGCAAGCTGTCACATTAAGCTGTCTGGGGGTCGATCCTGGCCGTCGGAGGCTTCCCGCTTCCCAGGTCTCCGGTCTCCGGTCTCCGCCCGGTCCGACGCGGTGGTCGGTCTCCGGTCTCCGGTCGCAGGTCGGGAGATCTGAAGTGTTTGGAGCTCATCCTGTCGAAAGTGAAGGCCCTTCCGCCAGCCTCTTTCAGCGGTGAAACCGCGCGGAAACCGTGTTGGTGGCGTCGTTTTGGGGGGGGTCGAACTCCAGCGAAACAGCGAAAAGGCACCGAAACAGCGAAAGAGAGCGTGCAGGCTTTTGGTCCAGGACGTTTCAAGAGGGTGAGAACATCATCCTTTTTTCCATACCTATTGTGTAGACTCAACATGTATATATATATATATATTAATATGATGTACGTACACACAGGAGGTCTAACTGTTTCACCTATTCAGCTAACGTTTGTGTGATCGCTTCGGTCCTGTTCACCCCCACCTGGCCTCGACCTGGTCAGATCGCCGTGCTCCGTCAGGGTCTGAAGGCCAAGGATGGAGGCTTGGAAGCCAAAGACCGCTGGGGCAGGCCCCCGGCGCAAGCGCAAGCGTGCCGCGGATCCGGATCCGCTGTCCGGAACGGTTCTTCTTTTTGGGGGAAGGAAGCTTCTGGGATGAAGTGAAGGACAACCCGCCCAGGGCAAGGCCTGGGCGGCTGAAGCAGGCGACATTGAGGTTGAAGAAGCTCTTGGAAGCAAATTCTCTAGACAATCTGAGGTGGTGGTTGCAAGAGCCAGTGGAGAGAAGATACTCGTTCCAGGCAAAGTACACTAAGAAGATGGCGCATCAGTGCTATTTGTTGGAAGACATCATGTTTGACATTCATTTCATTTCAATAAGTCATACGGCGTTCCTGAAGAATCCGCGATGAGAACCGCCGAACCCGGCGGGAGCCACCAGGACGGCGTTGCAATGGGCAGTGGCCAATGGTCACAAGGATGCGGCTGTGCCATGGCACTTTGCAGAGCTGATGGGATGGGCTGGGTCGGGTTTCGTACCTTCGTCGGGTTTCGTTGTGACGGTCTCCTGACAGCCATGACCCACAGCCATGCGAATCGACAGGCTACGACGTGTTGACTTTGGTTATCCCACCACAGCCACCACTGGGGAGGCCCAAAGAGGAGAACGCCACGATCGCGGACCCAGTAATCCCACCCCTATAAACCTTTGATTCGTGATCTGAATCGGGAGAACTCGGACACATCAACATCTCTCGACCTCCAGGTCTCTCTTAGTTGAAACATGTTGAATCCATTTTCATCTAAAAAGACAAGGTATCAATGATAATCAGATCAACCATCATCCATGAGGACCATTTTCCACATCTTTTTGCCCGGTTCCAACTTCTCTCGCTAGTAGGTGGCTGTAGCCCTGCCGACAAGTGGAGAGTCCAACTTGAGGAGAAGAGCGAGCGCAGTAGGACTTTGCCATCCTTGTTACTATAGTAGCTTCTCGCTGCTAGTAGTAATGCCCTTGTTACTAGTAGCGATGCCCTTGTCACTACTAGCTTCTTGCTCCAATATGGCAATTAAGATTCAGTGATCGTTCCAAGGTGTGCCTCATCCGAAACGGTGCCTATTCCAAGAACTTGCCCGACGCACTGCTTGAGGACCTTGAGGTGGGAGGAAACTTTTTCACAAGCAGACGATGATTGATAAATGCTCCTTGAAACACTCCTTGCAGTTTCCTGTAGAAGGGCCGCCCCTCGCAGTTTCCTCGGGTGGAAAAGTCCCTCCGTCCGTGATCCTTCCGTTGATTTGCGTTCCGCCTCAGTGGCGTTGTGATGCGGTGAGGAGGGGTAGACCCTCACCGGAAATCCGCAGGCTCCCCCCCACTCAGGATACTCCAGGACTCCAAGATACCACTTTCAGTTGCACGATATGGAAGGAGCTCTAAGAATCAAGCTGTACACGCGGGAGAGACAGACAGAGAGAGAGAGAGAGAGAGGAGATAAGAGAGAGAAGAGAGAGGAGAGAGAAGAGAGAGGAGAGAGAAGAGAGA